TATGGATCCCTGAATGTATAATCATTTTAATATTAGTTATTTATCAAGTGCTTCTCTCCTAAGAAGCTCATGGTGTCTTCTCAACACTGTTTTCATGATTCTCATATTCCCCCTTCATATGGATTGTGTGATTCCATTTTACGGGAGAAGAAAATGGCACCCCTAAGAAGTTGAGTAGCTTGCCTAGGGCCACTCAATAAGTCAAGGTCAATTCCAAGTTTTAGAACTTAGTCCACTCACACCAGGCTTCCAACCATGTGAGTTACATAGACAACAAACTCACCTGGGTGTTTTATGTGGAGAGAAATTAATTGCTTGACTCCTTGTTTCTTCTTGGAGTCGGCAGTGGAGTGCACGCTAAACCAAAATACCATCAAAACAACCCATTGCCGACACACGGAGGGAGGCTAGCCATGGATTTCTGAGGAACCACCTCCTGTTGCCCCTCCCAGAAGCAATTATGGAGAGAAGGTGTTCTTTTGTCGCGCCAGCCAGAGAGAGAATTTTGTTGACCGTCGGTCACTGCTGGGTGTTGACTACAGAACAAGAAGCCACTCTACAGATGGTTGCTTAGTTCTAATGATGGTCAGAAGCATGGGCCAACGTGGCAAGCCTTTTGTCATTGACCTTGTGAGGGAGGGCCTGGAACACAGCGAGGGAGACCCTTGATCGCATTGGCGTGCATTTAGGGAAATGGTGAAGAGGGCACACGGCCTTTCACAGCTCCAGAAGAACCTGCCACACATCTGGTCCACTCTGTCAGTGCCTTCTCTGGGAAGGCTGAAGTGAAGCCAAGTTCTAAAGGTTGGGGTCACTGGTTTCCAAGAGCCACCCTTCCAGAAGGAGGCCCAGTGTTACCCTGATTGCTTCCTGAGAGTCCTGGGGGAAGCCGCGTCATTCACACCTTACCACCCGCCCAGGGGGACTCCAGGAGTTGCGGAAAGTGGCTGTGGGCAGATGGTGTTCTCTCCGCAAGCACCTGTAGCATGTGTCACCACAGGAAAGAAAACAGTATTGCTTGTCCTTTGCAGAAGGCGTCAGCATAAATGGAAGCCATCTCCTCCGCTACATACCATCTACCCCGTCCCTCTCAGGGTAGCCTGAGCAGGACCTCAGGGCTAGCATTCGACAGAACGGAAACAAATCCGAGCACAGCGCTCGCGATGTGTTAGCTCACCCAGTTCTCAGAGCAACCCTGCAGGGTAGCGTGTACTGCTGCCCCAGTGTTCCAAAAGAGGAAATGACGGCCTGCGGGTCAAGTGATTTGCCCAGGGTCACAGCCTTGTAAGTGACAGCGTCGGGCTTCAGTCCTGGACAGTGGGGCTGCAGCGTCTGTGCTGAACCCACCACCTGCCCTGCATTATCTGGCTCTGGTGTCCCCATGCATTTGGCTCCAGACACGGGGAAAGCAATTGCATTCTTACTGTAATGTCATTTCCTTTAGGACCCATAGAGTAAAGTGTCTGCCAACTTAGAGCTGTTTTTTAAGTGCAAGCAGAAGGTTTGACACGTAAGAGGAGTTTAGTGCCACTTTATGGCGCCATGGGCAGCCCCACTGCTACTATGTAGAGGACCTCAGTACACCGAGATTATAGTCAGTTGGTGACAAACCCTTTGGGTCCCCCCACCATCCGAGAGGGCCAAGGCAGCTGGCTCTGATGGGGTCCGTGTGAAGAACCACTCGAAAGTCAAGGGAACCGGTTCTGATTTTGCCACCATGTACTCTGCCATTCCATCAGCTGGACGTGACCTGTTCTAAACATTCGGGGCACAGGCTATCTATGAGACCCACTTACCTGCCTCCAAAGTGGTTGCATTTACCAGGAACTGGCCCAACTTGCAGTCAGCAGAAGCATGTATAAATCAATACAAATGCCTGTAAACACAACGGAGTCACAATAAATGATGATGGCTTTAGATAAATAATGGCTAAGAGTGCTTTGTGGTGCTGAGACAGAGTAGGTTGAGATGCTGCTGGCAGTGGGGAGAAGGCGTGGGATTAATTAGAGAGTTTATAGGAGCAAGTTGCGGAGATTGGAAGGAGAGGAAGATGTGGTGCAGCTGCCATCTGCATGGGGGAGGACATGGCATGCTATGGCACAGCTTGACGAATGAGCACCAGAGAGATCGAAGCCATCACCAATGATTTGAGAGAGGCACTTAACCTCCCCGGGTCTCCATTCTTCCATCTGTCAGTATGGAAAAGTGGGTATTGAAATCAAGAGAACACTTTGAGTTCTGAAGAAAAGTATCACCATCATGCATCCTTTGGGTTCAGGAAAATCTATTATTTGGAAGAAATGCCTATGACATATGACACTTGATTTGCTCCAGGCACCAGTAACTCAGATGTCCTCTGGGAAGGAAGCAAACGAAAGCATTGGCATAGAAAAAAAAAAAATGGTAAGCATTCAGGCTCTTGCAAGGAACATACTTCTCCTTGGCATATCTGAACAGTATGGGCTGAGCCCAAGCCAAGGCTGTGTGAGCCCAGACCCAGATCTCAAATGTCTGCCCATTCCTTGCTCTTCTGGTTGGCGTCAGTCAATCACAAGTGGAATCAGATGTTGCCTTGCCAACGTGGCTGATAGGTTTCTGGCGGAGCTGTGTTTATGTCTTGGTCCTTGTTTGTGTGATGTGCTGTGTTTTGTAACTTGCATCTCCGGGAATTTTTCCCACGGCTTTTTATTGTTCCTTATCACCCATAACCAAATATGGCAGCTTTAAATAGTGCTGTCATTTTCCTCTATGTCATTCATTGTGATATAATCAGGTATAGATTTCTGACTTCGAGCATCTAATGGGGTTTCAGATTCAGAAAGCAACAATAAAAGATGTTTCCACTCCCGGGTGTCTCTCAGTTGGGAAACCCTGGGGGAAGCAGCCGTGAGTGACAGGGCAGGTGGAATTTGTGTGTGTGCGCTCGGAGGAAGTGTGAGGTCAGGAAGGACCCCACGCCTGGAGCGAGCAGGTGACTTCTGCTGCTGCAGCGGCTGTGTGGGTGGAACTGAGGCTTTGTCCCTTCTGATGATGTCCAGCACGGGCCTGGCTGCTGTTCCCCACTCTTCTTAGTAGAGGGTTGACATACTGATGGGAACAGGCACGCTCAGATGGCCTCTTCCCCCAATCTTCTCCTATTTCTTCCCTTAGTTACTGGGCTGTGTCCTTCCAATTGTCTCATTTTCCTCTTACATCATCTGAAAATTCTGTGCAGACCATATGTGAATGTGTCAGGAGGCAGAGAACTGGCAAATGGTATGAGAGCCTGGTCCAAGCTGTACTGTGAAAGAAAATCAAGTTCAGACAGACCACCGAGAGGTCGCTGTCACACTGCCGCTGGCCATGAGGCCCGGAGCGGCCGCCCTGCTGGCAGGGGGTGGGCTGTTGATGCCATTTCTATGCACCCTCTTTGTCCCAAAGAGTGGAGGAAAACGCTGCCCTAGATGGCTCAGGAACTGCCCACAGGATCCCCAGAAGGAATGGAAGGCCATCCAGAGAGAAGCTGAAAAGCAGCTGTGATCAGGCATGCAAATCCGCCAGGACCCTGCAGAACTGTGCCCCTCCCACACGTCTCTCACGTGGCCTTGGGAACAGCTACTGCTACTGTTTCTTGGCTCCTTCTAGTCTCCTACAGATGGGCAGTAGCTCAGCCAGCTGGTTGAGTTTAGCTGTGTATTGACACGGGTGTGGCCCTTTGTGTGTTTCTGGGAACCCCTATGCAGAGGCAGTGCCCCTGTGTATGGATAGATTATGTCATGACCGGTATGGCCTTGAGCTTGAGCCCCCGGCTTCACTTGGACTTCCAGTCCTCTCCGTGGGCTTCTTGGATGCCTGGGATCATAACCAGAGCATTTTCCAGAGCGGTTCTCAGGAGTATCCAGTCTGGTGGCTTTGTGCTAAATGAAAGAAGCAAGCACAGGGCAAGAGAGGAGCGCCAGGGAGCTGGAGAGAGAATGCCTTGTTGATGCTGGACAGCTGTCACTCAGCTCTGTCATTCTCAGATGCCTCGTGTTTAATGAAAACAGCAGAATCTAGACTGCTAGATGAAATCGTGTACTCATTGTTGGCAATTAACACCCAGAGGGTAAGCAGAGCAAGTGTATGGGCTGTCTGTATTCCATGGGCCTCAGTGGGTCCTCTCTGATCTAGTCCTGCTTCAACCAAGGCCCAAGAGGGCTGGGACTTGCCTGAGAGCACGCAGCTAAACGCGGAGCAGATGCCCTAACTCCATCCTTCTCCATCCGTGTTGTTTTCTTGTGAAAATGGCAGGGAGATTGGAGTCCAGGTATCTATTCCTGGCTTGGGACAAAGGCACATTTTCCCAGGGCGTAGTAGTGCAAGTCCTGGGCTGAGTCACAAAACATGCATTTGGATCCTTGCTCTTCCACTTACAATCTGTTCAGGGCTACTCCAAAAGGTTCTTAGAGGGCCGGCACTGGGGCGTAGTGGGCTAAGCCTCTGCCTGCAGCACTGGCATCCAAAATGGGCGCCAGTTCATGTCCCGCTGCTCTTCTTCCAATTCAGCTCTCTTCTTCTTGCCTGGGAAAGCAGTGGAGGACGGCCCAAGTGGCTTGGGCCCCTGCACCACGTGGGAGATCCAGGAGAAACTCCTGGCTCCTGACTTCAGATTGGCTCAGCTCCAGCCATGGAGGCCATTTGGAGAGTAAACCCTCGGATGGGAGACCTCTCTCTCTGTCTCTCCTTATCTCTATCTGTAACTCTACCTCTCAAATAAATAAAATCATAAAAAAAAAAACTTGGAAAACTGGAATTAAAAATAAGTTAATTGGGGTGCAAAAACTTGAAATCTGCATAGGATGAAGTCTTCAAAAAAGTATATGTAAAGTGTATATTATGAAAAGCTGTGTGTGGATTCGGTACATTTTTGTACCGCAAAAATGCCATTGGAAGCCAAATTCACAGTCGCCCTGCCTTGCCCTGACCCATGGCCATGCTGACTGAATGTGAGCGTTGACTCTGGCTTTCACCTCCATTTCCAGGGCCGCAGGCCGGGCTATTTCTCCTTCCTGGACCCATTTTCCCCAGGCGTCTGGCTCTTCATGCTCCTAGCCTATCTGGCTGTCAGCTGTGTCCTCTTCCTTGTGGCTCGGTAAGTTCTCCCCTTCCCGTCCTCACACCGCCACCGTGTGTCTGCCTCTGGGAACTGCACTGGGGAGGGGGGATGGTTGAGATCTTGGGGCCAAATTAGAGGGAAAGGAGGGGTACTCGGGACACTGCCACCCAGCTATCTGTCCAGTCATCTGTGCACACGAGCCTTGCTGTGCACAATCTGGTGGGGTGAGCTTGTCTGGACTTGCTACTGCACCCCTGCCACTTGCCCCCAGCAGCCCCTAGCCCGCTGGTCTCAGGCCCCTGCTTGAGGTGGGGGGCTTGCTTGGGACGGAGAGAAGGAGAGGAGAGTGACAGGCAGATCTCTGTGGTTGAGCGCCGTGCACTGGGCAGCCCTGGCATCCATGCTTAGCGCAATCTGCCACAAAGTGCAGAGTGATGAGAAACAGAGCCTGCGAATCCGGGAGCGGGGCGACTGGAGGCTGCAGTGCTGCCGGCCAGGGAGAAGGCCTCCCTTGTGCACAGCTGGAACCTGCCTCAGAAAACGCAGCTGCTCTGTGGAATGGGAGTGCAAAGGGGGCAGTCGCAAGAGGGCAGGATGGAGAGAGGTGGGTACAGGTAGTGTTAGGACAAATGATTCACCTTGCAGGGGGGTTGGAGGGAACAAGCCCTCTCCTGTCCCCCAAGAAACAAGGGATAGCCCCTGCCCCATGGAAGAACCCTTAGGTTCTTCCTTAGAGCATCCCTAGGCTGTAACCTCCCAAGAATGTGCTCAGAGCCTAAGGGCCTAAGGGACCATGGGAGCAGCCCGGATTTCCAGAGAGCCAGGGAGCTGTCCAGAAGTGGGACAGGCCTCGTGGCTCCTGGGCCACTCCCTGCCTGGCCTGCAGCTTTCTGAAAGGGACCACCCAAAGGGCTGTTCTGGGGGAAGAGAGAACCACGCAAGATGTGCTTGGAGACTGCCTCGGAAGGCTTCTCGCTTGGCTCCTTTGCTTTGCACCCTGGGGGCAGGGCCCAAGAGCTATGCTGGGAACCCCTCTGTGACAACGGGGGTCTTCCCAAGGGGTTAAGGAGAGCCCTGTTCTCTCTGGCTAGGAGGTGCAACACAGTGGCCTCCGGAGTCCCAAGGAACCTGAGCAGTCAGCCCCCTAGGGGCAGTCCCCACCCAGCCAGAGCGGGGGTTGTGACATCCTGTCTGTGTCCCTCCTGGTAGGGATCAAGGCCAAGGTTCGGAAAGCCTTTGGGGCCCCCAGCCCAGCACAGAAAGTCCTTGCTTGCAACCTGGTTGTCTGGAGAGGCTGACGAGTGTGCTGCGTCCGGGCCACCCACCCCTCTCAGGCCTGCAGGCGTTGCCACTGTCAAGTAGCTGTTGTCAGCGACAGCTGGCGAGGCGAGGCGCGGGAGCTCACAGGCTGTCTGACACTTCCACTCTCCACTTCGCCGTGCTGGCTGCGGCTGCTCTTTGGAAGCTGTCTGCCTGAGCCTGGCGCCACTGCTCTGTAATTCACACTGGACCGATGGCGGATGGCGGAATTCTTGTGTGTGGCGGCCCAAGGCTCGCAGCAGGGTGTGGCTTCAGGGACACAATCAGAAGCCTGCTTCACCACCACAGCAAATCTGAGGGGTTATGGGCTCCTCTCTCCAGACCCCGCCCCCGACACACACACACACACACACACACACACGCACATGCATGCATGCACAGGAGGGGTCTTCAGAAAGTTAGTAGAAGATGAATATTATGAAAAACTTACCCATGGATTTCAAAAATGTTGCATCAAAATAAAATTATCTTTTTAAAATCTTAATATATATATATAGAGAGAGAGAGAGAAAGTGGCAGGCAGGAGCCCAAAACTCAATCCAGGTTTTCCTCAAGTACTTGATCTAGCACCTGCTGCCCCCCTAGAGTGGGCATTAGCAGGAAACTGGATCAGAAGCAGAGTAGCCAGGACTCAAACCAGGCACTCCGTATGGGACCCAGGCTTCCCAGCTGCCATCTTAACCACCAGGCCCAACACCTGCCCCTAACATTTAATTCCCTTTCCCATGACCTTTGTGAAGCCCCCTCATTTGGGCTAGCGAGCCCTCGGAGCATCTGTGCTGTGACAGTGGTTTGCAAACAGGGTACCAGGGGAGAGAGGGTGAAGGCCCAGGAGCTACCAGAGACTTTGGGGGCAGCCAGAGCTCTGAGGCCCCGAGGCCCCTACATGCAGACCCATTCCATTTCTATTGCCTCTGGGTGAGATTTAGAGGGGGAACTGGTTGCAAGTAACAGACCCTCAGGCAACCCTTCCTAAGCCAGCTGGCTGCCAGAGTCACACAGGGAGCTTGTCAACATCTGGATTCCCGGGCCCCAGCATCTCCAGGGCAGGGCCTGGGAGTCTACCCTAGAAGCTCACTAGGTTCCTGCCCTGATGTGTACTTTTGGGAACCACCACAAAGGCAAACCATCCCTGCTGGATGCAGGCTGGCTGGGAGAAGGAGCAGATCGCACAGAATGTGGGCCAACGAGGGGCTGCTCCATGGTGTGTCCAGGAGAGTGAGGCATCAGTGGAAGCAGGCAGAGGGGCTGCAGGACACGCACCAGGTGCACCGTGGGCTGAGGGAAGGGACAGGAGCACCAAGTGGTGTTCGCGCCCTGGAGCACACGCTGCTAACCCGGCTCGGCGGGCGCTCACCTGCCCATTCTCCTTCCTCTCTGCAGGGTGGGGAGGCTGCCCAGGCCACAGGCTGGGCACAGCAGAGGTACTGCCAGGGCAGGGGCTAGTGGTGAGGCCGAGAGGGACAGCAGGAGGGAATGCTCCCCACCTGGCCTGCAGGCAGAGAGCTTCGAGCAGCCCTCGGCTCTGTGTCCATCACACTCAATGCAGAGAGCTTTCAAAAGCACCAAAGGCCAGGCCCCACCTGCACAAGCTAAACCAGAATCCAAACATTGACATGGTTTCATGCCATGCTTCCCCTGGGGTGTCTGAAACGCCAACGGGCCCTAGAGATTGTCGAGCGGACACTGGACAGACAGTCAGGACATCAGCTGACAACTTGCACATTCCCAGGCCTCGCCCAGGCTGGCTGATTGGGAAGTTCTGGGGGTAGGGGCAGCAATCTGCATTCTGACAAGCCTTCTTGTGGATTCTGGTGGGGACTGAAGTTTGAGGAATACTGCCCAGGGGGAGGGTTTGCAAACCATGGTTCCGTGGGACTCCGGGGCCCTTCCCTGTCCGTCCTAGGGGTCTGGGGGTGGAAGGTCAAGTGCCTTCTCCCGCTATCTACCCCTTGCCACTCCCATCATCCCGTCACAGCTGTGCATTGATCTCTTTTGTACTTTGGAGTTGCACACCAGGATTTATGGGTTGAGGGTCAACTTTAAGGGACAACATTTTGAGAGCCACCAATGCGCTCCAAATGCTTCTGTTTTTTAAAGCTGGGAAAATCCCCGTCCAGCACAGGGAAGTGGCTTGCCCAGGGCACCAGGCTAATTCCTGAGGCTCTCCTGGGCAAGGGAGGTCTCTCCAGCTCCCTTTCCGTCATGCCCCTCCTCCGTGACCTGCATTCCTTCTCTCCCACAGGCTGACGCCCTACGAGTGGTACAGCCCGCACCCGTGTGCCCAGGGCCGGTGCAACCTCCTGGTGAACCAGTACTCCCTGGGCAACAGCCTCTGGTTTCCAGTTGGGGGCTTCATGCAGCAAGGTTCTACCATCGCCCCTCGCGCCTTATCCACCCGCTGTGTGAGCGGCGTCTGGTGAGGTCCCAGGCGGAGGCGGGCCGGGCCTGAAGGGGCGGAGGGGCCAGACCCGGGGTAGGGGTGGGAGAAGCTGCTGCTGGGAGAGCCTGAAGCCTCTGGCCCTCCCAGCAGAGCCTGGCAGGGCCCAGTGCTGCCTCCTGCCAGCTCAGCCTGTGTTGAGCAGAGGGTGGAGCCCAACAGATCCCAATAGATCCCAATAGATCCCATCATTCCCCCTCCCCTTTCTCTGTCTCTGGGGTCTGAGTACAGAGGGAAACCAAGGCAGGAAGCAAGACCGGTGAGAAAGCCAAGCCCATGATCATTTCCTGGCCTGAACAGGACCTGAGGTTTGAGTGGCTGGGCCTTTAAAGACATATGCAGATGTATGCAAATCCGATCCTGCTGCAGGAAGTCCCTGGAGGCGGAGGCTGTCCCATCATGGCCTGTCTCACCTTTCTCGGGCTTTGTCCCTCAGCTTGCCCTGTCCACCTCAGTGGGTGTGGGGAAATGCAGACCATCAGAGGCTCAGAGTTGGGCCCAGGAGTCAATGTGTGGGGGAGTCCTGTAAGAACTGCTGTGTAGCTGTATGGGCTCTTTTAGACTGTGGTGCAGGGAAGTGGAAAGGCTAAGAGGCTGGAGAGGAAGTTCGCAAGAGCAGGTTTCCCATGCACTCTTCAAAACCTGCTATGGTTAGGCCGCCGCAGCTTGCAGGACTTCCAGCCTTGGTCTCCCTGCTCCTTCTCAATCTGACTACACCAAAGGAGAAGGCAAAATGGTGCTTCCACCCTTGGGTACTGATGCCGGGGGACACGTTCCTGGAGGAGCCGCCGGAGCAGGGGCTGTTAGGGAGGTGACAGCACAGCCGGGACAGTGACCCCTCCCCCTCTGGGGTTTTCACTTCCCAAAAAAGTGATAAATATAGTAGGACCAAAACCACTGGGACAAGATGTTCACCTATTACCAGATAGTGCCAAGAAGTCACTGACTAGAATTGCGCAGGGAAACGGGGCTCGGGGCACCCGGCGGAGGAGATGGTCTCATGGGGACTTTCCAAATCCTGGGACTCCAGGCAGGAGGCCAGGGAGATGGGCAGACGCCAGCTGAGGATGCTGGGTTCGTTCCTGCTGGACGGTTTCCCGCCAAAGAAGGCGCCTTCTCGCTGGCGCAGGCAGAGCCCCATGGCCGCTTCATCCACCTGCCCCAGAGAATCCCTTCCCCAGAGAACTTCAGAGATCTGAGTCTTGCAGGCCACACAGCCCTTAGTCCAAGGACTTGGTGGGCCCCCGTGGCTTAGCCACGCTGTTCCAGAGCACATGTTGGGAGGGCCCTCACCAGCCCCTGCCCAGGACGATAGGGCTCCCTCTGCCTCTCGGAGTCCTGAGTTGTTAAGTCAAGGTCTCGCTCTGGGCATATTTTGGAGGAGGGGGCCCATTGTGGTCCGCCCGCGTCGCCTCACCGAGAGCCAATGATAGGAAATGCCAACGGTACTGCAGTCTCACAGCTGCTAGTCCCCCTGTGACACCGGAGCAAGGCTCTGTCAGCCCCTCTGGAGACAACATGGGCAGCACTTGCTGTCTCTAAGCAGCGATTGGCTGACCTCTTCCTGTACAACTGGGAGCTAACCAGGCACATGGCCGCCCAGGGTGGAACAGACGCCAGTGGCTAGTGATGGGGCCGAGGGAACCTCCTCCACCAACTCAGGTCCTGCCCACAGCCGGGGTTCATGAACCTATGGTTGTGACCAAGGCAGCTAAGCAGCTGCAGAATGCTGGCTTTCTCTGAGGGCAAGGGCATGCAAAACAGCTTCCACCAGACCGGCAGGGCTGAGGGCCAAGCAAGGAACCAGGCTGAGCATGGAGGATGCATGGCACGTACGGGATCCCAGGCAGGGCGGGCAGGAAGGAGGTGACCCCGTGAATTTCCATCCCATGTTCATCCGGGGGCCTCTCTGTGCACTTCCTTATGTCTCACATCGTCCAGTCCTTTAGTGATTAGTGATTACCGATCACTCATGATGTATTACCTCGTTTGCTCTCCCAACTCTCCAAAGATAGGCAGCACAGACATTATTATCCCCATTTATCAGCCAAACGAGCTCCGGGAGGGCGGGAGAGGCTTTTCCCAGGGTCTCACAGGTGGGATGTGACAAAGCCAGAAGGAAAACCGGCTCGCCTCACCGGCGGTCTGTCATGTGGATGTGCCCGCCGCGTTGGGGGCGTCCCTGTTGCTTCACTCTTGGAGAGGCAGCCAGCAGGTGTTCTTGGTCATGGTGCCAGAAAGAGGCAGTGGGACTTCCTGCTCCTGAAAATCCACCTGGCAGCTGCCAGCGGCTGCCTCCCGTGGCCAACTTCATGCATTCGTTGGCAGATTCTTCCTAATGGGTAAAGCGCCATTAACCCAGGCCCTACTGATTCAGAAGCTGTGATTCCCCAACCTCAACTGTGCTGCAGTTTATCTTTGAACCCCTTGGATGCAGAGGGCTCGGGATGCAGAGCCACGCTGCTGGCCAGACGGGAGAAGGCGTATTTAACCTACTAAAGTGAAAAAGCGGCTTTTAGCATATAGGCTGCCCAAGATGCAATTTTTTTCTAGTTTTAAATGAGTTCCATCTACTCAATAAAACGACCTTTTAGTTTGACAGAGCATCCCTGTCCTACGAGGAGTCTTTCTAATTCCAACCTCTTGGCAGGTTAAAGGTGCCTTTCGCCAGTTCGTCTTCCACAAAGGCTGGCCGCTGTTTTGATTTGTGGAACTGGTTTTAAAATGCTTGGCGAGCTGTTCTGTGCCCCTGGGCCTCAGTTTCCCCAGCTGCCAAGTTGGGATGAGAATCTTGATTCCCCGAGGTGGAGGGCTTACCTGAGCTGTTGCAGGTAGCCTTGGCCCATGTCCAGTATATAGAGGAAGCAGGAAGCCGTCCCGCCTCAAGCCCTGAGCAGGACTCTCGGAGCCATCCTGCTAGCTCACTCGCTAGCTCCTGGCTCCTGGGTCCCCAAACTGTCTCACGGGCAGGCATTTCACCACCCACTAAACACCTCCTGTAGGGAATGAGAGGAAAAGTCAGCCATCTTCTTCCAGGCAGTGCTTGTGAGCTCAATTCGTTTCTGTCGCCATCATTTGCCCCGCTTCCATGTTCTTCCTCCACCAGGCCAAGAGCCTCCTTCCAAAGAGGGACGCCCGGTCCCTCCTGTGTCACAGCGGGTCTGGGGATGGGAGCAAGACTCCTGGGGGCGCCCAGGTGGCGAGGACTTGCCATTCTTCTCCTGCACAGGTGGGCATTCACGCTGATCATCATCTCATCCTACACGGCCAACCTGGCAGCCTTCCTGACCGTGCAACGCATGGAGGTGCCCATCGAGTCAGTGGACGACCTGGCTGACCAGACTGCCATTGAGTATGGCACAATTCACGGAGGCTCCAGCATGACCTTCTTCCAAGTAAGCCCCGTTTGATTGTCCACTCCCTCCGGGACCAGGCAGCGTGAGGATGAGATGTTAGTCTGCCAGAAATGAAAACATCTCTGCTCATCCCATGACCTCTCTCCTGAACGTCTAGTTTGGAAGTCTGCATGGAGCTCATTTTCCTCCTGCTCCGCAGAATGCCCTTGGAACGAGATCCCAAAGTGTGGCATTTGAGAGGATGCTAGGGACAAGGTGGTGGAACTGTTTCCAGATTGTAATGGTTTCCTGTTTGCTTTCATGGGCATTAGGAAAAAAATAAATATATATATATATATGTATATGTATACATTAAATTAAACCTCTTTTTAAAAATATTACTGTGGCCGGCACCATGGCTCAATAGGCTAATCCTCTGCCTACAGCGCCGGCACACCGGGTTCTAGTCCTGGTCGGGGCGCCAGATTCTGTCCCGGTTGCCCCTCTTCCAGGCCAGCTCTCTGCTGTGGCCCGGGAGTGCAGTGGAGGATGGCCCAGGTGTTTGGGCCCTGCACCCCATGGGAGACCAGGAGAAGCACCTGGCTCCTGCCTTAGGGTCAGCGCGGTGCGCCAGATGCAGCATGCCGGCCGCGGCGGCCATTGGAGGGTGAACCAACAGTAAAGGAAGACCTTTCTCTCTGTCTCTCTCTCTCACTGTCCACTCTGCCTGTCAAAAAACAATATTACTGCATAGAATGGGTCAAATTTATGTTTTTAAAATTTTAAAACGAGTTAAAATTTATTTAAAATAAAACACAAGTGAATGAAGTTTGAGGAGCACTCCATTAAGATCCATTGGTTTTCCTGATTCTGGAATCTGGCTGCAGCTCCGATAGGGATATGGCTGACTTCTGTGAGGTTCCCCCGCAAGGCTCATGAGGAGGCCCTGTCAGTGGTTGTGTTTGCTGACCAACTGATCGCCAAGGCTGGCAGAGCCCCGCCATAGGGGATGGTAGTTTCCAGATGCGTCAAGATCTCTAATGAAGCAGGCTTCCCTAGGGGTTAATGGATGTCTGAGCGGCCTAGAGTCTGAGAAGTTCAGTTTCACATGAAACAGGTCCAAGGCCTTCAGCTCCCTGGTTTCCATTCAAATCTCAGTGCTTCTTGGCACGGAGACCAGTGACGCCATCGTACAAACACAGGGTTTGGGTGGACCCCCAGAATTCTCTCTCTCATTATTTTTTTTTGTAGCACAGAAGCCAGAATCGGATGGATGGCTTGGTTTAGGGTGGATAGAAAATTGCTGGCCCGGCTTCTTCAGGTGATGTCTCAGTATAAACTCCTGAATGAACCTGAGTCTGGTGCCCCGACCTGAGGGACGGGAAGGGACCCAAACAAAATTGTAATTTTTCTACCAGAAAATGGAGGTTGGCAGTGCAAGACCTGTCCAGGGTAGATGAGGCAAAACCAGTGATCAAACAGCAGGCCGAATTCATGGCCACGTCGCTTCCTTGTCTTCCTGCACAAGGTGTCGGTGGCACAAGTCCCTGCCCCGCCGTTAGGTCTCTCCCTGAGTGGAGAGACCGTCGTGAGTGGTTAGAACAGCACAAGGGCCAGCATTGAAGTCCCACTCGGACTCCCTTCCTTCGCAAGCCACAATTTCCTTTCTCTTTTCCCAATCCCGCTTCCCTTTGATCTCGTCCCCAGAACTCCCGCTACCAGACCTACCAGCGCATGTGGAATTACATGTATTCCAAGCAGCCGAGTGTGTTCGTGAAGAGCACGGAGGAGGGAATCGCCCGGGTGTTGAATTCCAACTACGCCTTCCTGCTGGAGTCCACCATGAATGAGTACTATCGGCAGCGAAACTGCAACCTCACTCAGATTGGGGGCCTGCTGGACACCAAGGGCTATGGGATTGGCATGCCAGTCGGTATGCAGGAGAGGAACAGCCTCTTTGGGTAGCTTCCTCCAGGCAGGGTCAGGGGAGCCAAAGCCACCGAATGCAGCATCGAATTCAGTAATCCTTGTTTCTAGAACCAGGCTAACAGGGACTTGAGGTGGCATTTTCAAGGTTAAAAATAAAAATACCACACACTTCCACGAATCAGTGATCAGTGCTCAACTGAAATTATTAAAGGACTAGTTGACTGGTTATTTCTTAATTAATCATTAAAAGAATAACCCTAATGATTAAAGGACATGGGGACGCCCCTGGTGGATACTGTATGCCTTTCGTTCCCCCTCCCTCCTGCTTCCTGCCCCTTGACCATTTCTGTGTTGATTGACATCTCTATTAACGGTGGGGAAGAAGGAAGAGATGGTGAAACTCAAATGAATTAATTTGGCTGTTTGTCAGTGTCCCCACTGAAGAGTTGACTGACGTGATAGGATGAGATGGCTTTCAAATTATTTGTCAGTTTCACTGATCCATCCGCCGTGAGTCAGCGGGGGCAGGAGGGAAGTGGCGGAACAGCTTGCTGACTGAGCACCAGCCAGTTTTGGTACGGGAGGGTAGAGGAAAGTATCGTAGCTGTGCTTCTTCAAGGAGCCTTCCCCTGCTGGTAGTAACTCTACCAGAGCACGCTTCACTGTTGTGAGGGTGGAGGGGACCTCCATGCACCCTTTCCCCACACCCACCTTTGAAAGCCACAGCTGTATAGGGCTGTCCTTGTGCATGGGTGTCCTTGGATGAGGCAGCAAGAGGAGAGGCTGGAAGTGAGGCTATCAGATCAGTATGTACATCTTTGTAGTTGGATTGCACATCCCTTCCATTAATCTTGACCTAACTCAAGGCTCTATAAATTTTAGGATTTGCTTACACCTGTGAAATGTAATGAGCTTGGGCTTGGAGTCAGGCAGCCCTGGGAATGCATCCTGGTTGCCAGCCGTGGTACCTTAGATAGATTATTTAACCTCTCTGAGCCTCAGCACCCTTGCTAATAAAAACAGGACTCTAATACCTACCTCGCCAGGGTCTCTGTAAGGGCTGAGCTTGATAATCTGGTCAGATGCCTTCCCTTGGTGTCTCGTGCGTAGCTCCACTTGGGGGAATATTAGTGTTCTTCCCACCTTCTCCATAGTTACCTGTTATTTGATAAAAGCAGAAGATTTCTTAAATACTGATCAGGAACCAAGCAATCATATGGTTCATCCCTGACCAACTGTAGATTCTGAACCCAGCAGTTATGTGAACTGGAGACCTCGCTCAGGCCACTTAACCTACTTACTATCATATTTCATTGATGCCCGTCGGTATAGCAGATTATGGGCCCCTTTGAGAAATGTATTGGCTGGCAATTTCTTTCAAGATGGTGGAGTGAACCACAAAATGAGCTTAAGGTGCACCTTGATGATACTCCAGCAATTTATCAAACTTAACCAAAGTGTCAAATGCTTCAAAAGTTTTCATGGAGCAGGACTACAGAGAGTTGAGGTAAAACGGAATGACTCTAGAAATTTCCATTCATAGCCAAGTGAAAAATGTAGGGGAAAGCATTTGTTCTGTATCTGACATTTTGCCCCTTTCATATGTTATTTCACTCAATCATTTCACCTGCAAGATAGGCGTGGTTATTACTCTGTAGAGGGAAGTACGGGATTCAGAGCAGATGAGTTATTTGTCGAAGGTCATAGAATCAGTAGAGAAGCTGGGTTTAAGCTAAGATGCTGGTCTTTGAATGTGGTACTTTGTTCACCAGACCATGTAGCCTAACGGGTCCTACCAGCAAGACTGGACAGGCGAGGCAGGGAGGGTGCTGTGGCTGACACAGGTTCTCACATGAGGTTGGGAAAACATTGCCCGGTCCATTGATGAGACAGGATTGAGGTTCAGCTGAGATTCTGCCCAGGAAAAGACAGCATGTGTATCATTCTTATGTGGAAGGTGAGAACGTAACTACAGAGTGACCAGTACCGTCAGATCCAGGAAAATCAAGAGAAACAAAGAACAAGATGGAAAGCTACTCAGGTGCTCTGGGTGCTAAGTAGGCAAGCGTGGAGTAAGCAGAGTCTGTTTATGCAGCCCCTGGTGTGTTGTGAGGTTGGATTGCAAGTGCCTTGAAATGGTCTGGAATGCCTTCCTGGGGTGGACAGTTGTCACTAAAGCTGGAATATGTGTTGATCCGAGCACCTGACCACTCTGTATACACCTGCTCACGTCTCCACCGATGTCCACCTGCATCAGTGACACAGACACACTAAGTGCTGTGGGCTTGGGGTGGCTGTGCCGGAGCGCAGGTCTGTCTCTAGGAAGGCAGATTCTACCACAGAGGCATGGGCTGTCACAGTCAGAGAGATCCGGGTTGGATCTAGTTCCTGGCCTGTCAGAGTGTGGTCCGTGGGCCAGCTGCGTGGGTGCACCTTGGAGCATGTCAGGAATACAGAGTGTTAGGCCCCACTGCAGACCTACTGAATCAAAAGCTGCGCTGTAGCAAAATCTCCCAGCTGACTCCCTTCCCGTTCGCACTGGAGAAGCCCTGGGGGATTTGTTCCAAGCTTCTGCCTGTACCCTTCACCACAGTCCATTCCCCCAGGCCGTCACAGAGGAACTCGGGCAAGGAAGCTGGGCAGCTTCGTCATTCTCCAGGCCCTTGGCAGCTTTTTTCTTAATGATCTCAGGCCTTAGCCTGTGCTGGGACATTGAGCTTTCCACAGCTTCATTTGAGCCAGTTTTTGTGATTAAACTCTAGAACCAAAGCTCTTTGACCATACTCCTTTAGAAAAATCCTCCCCCACCCCAGATTGCACTAGGCCTTGTATTGGAGGAGCGAGGGAAGAGCAGGGAATGTGGGGTGATGGATGAGACAGGGGGTTCTGGTACACTCAGCAGGCAGCCGGGAGGGTTGGGGACACCTGGTGACTGGGTTCTCTATATGAGTGGATGAGACAGGGCTTCCCTCACACCCTGGGGTGCCACTTCCCTCACTGGTTGTGGCTGTCCTGGCTAGACAATTGTCAAGTGCAATATAGTGAGAGTTACAAGTACCCGAGGAACTAATTTGAAGTAAGTGGAGATTGGACAATTGACTGAAAGGTTTGGCCCTCAAGAGGTGATGGGAGCTATCGCCAGCTTCTTGTGTGCGGCGGGCACTGGCCGTGTAACCTGTAGTGTAGGAGGTGGTGGCCCCCGCCCTGGGTTGGGAGGTGGAGTGGCATGGCCTCCTGGAAAGCCACACCTCGGCCCGTGCTAGGGACTTCGGCTGGTGAATGGACGGGCCAGTCATTGCAGAGGTTGGGAACGTAGAACACCCTATGTGAGGCCGCAGTGCCCCCCTCGCCAAGGATGAGGGGACAGTGGAGTGGACAGCAGCGGCCTTGTGTGCAGGCCTTGCCCTCCGGCGGTGACAGCAGGCAGAGTGTCCTGCAGGTGTGCGGGGCAGGGGAGCAGAGGGCGGCCGGCACAGCAGGACGCTCACAGCCTGTGTCTGGGCTCCCCTGTGCCCCACAGGCTCGGTGTTCCGGGACGAGTTTGATCTGGCCATCCTGCAGCTACAGGAGAACAACCGCCTGGAGATCCTGAAGCGGAAGTGGTGGGAAGGGGGCAAGTGCCCCAAGGAGGAGGATCACAGAGCTAAAGGTAAGGGCGCTCGGGGCCCCCCCTGCCCTAGAGGACCGAAGCAGCTCGGTTCTCCTGGCCCAATTCCAGGTAAGGGTTTCTAGGACACAGGGAAGGCATCCGGGGCTGGACTAGGGCTGGTTGGGGTGGCGGGGTGGGGGGGGCAGTCCCGGCCCACAGTGGCGCACACTGCACACACCCAGTGTCCGCCTGTCCTCACCAGTCCTAGAGCAGCTACATCCATGACGCTTCCTGAGTGCAGCCCCTCTCCCTGCCCCCAGCACCTCCACCTTCCCCATCCCCCTCCACCTGTGCGGTGGCTCTCGCCCGCTCTCCTTTTCCCATTTATGTGTCTCTGCAGTGCGTTCTCCACGGGTCGCCCGAGTGATTGCTTTTTAACATGCAAATCAGATGGCATCCTTCCCCTGAACAAATCTCTAAGGCTTCCTGTCCCGCCCAGAAGAAAACCCCAGCCCTCTGGAGCCTCGGCTCCCACGTGATCCTTCTCACTGGACCTCCTCCTCTCCTGCCGCTTGTCCCACCCCCTCCTCGGGCCTCTCTGGGGAGGCTGCCCTGGGAGAGGTCCTCTCTCCCTCGCTATCAAGCCTTTCCCGGTCACCCCAACTCTGCTTTATTGTCTGGTCAGATCTCACCACTGCCTGATGTGATAGTTGCCGTGTCTCTGTTTATTTCTGTCTTTGCTGTTAGAACATAAGCTTCCTGCAGGCAGACTTCATGTTCTTCGCGGGGCTTGCACAGGGCCTGGCCCATAGATCATTTATTGATTGAGTGATTGTTGAGTCGCGTTGACTAGAAGTGTCCCTGGTTGTGTGTGTAGGTAAGGAGGGTGAAGGGTCACTAACCACCCAGGGTTTCCTGTAGGGGAAATGCACACCCTGGCTTGTCTATGGCCGACCTGCTGACATGTTTTATAGGCCAGTTAATGCCTGTTAATTGTTTTTAGGGAACTTTCATTCTCAAAGTGTCTTGGTTTCGATAATGAATCAATGGTCACTCTATTGCAGCCTTGCTAAAATATGCAACAAATTTACCTGCGTGTCCCCTAGGACGGCAGTGGAGGAGAACACTGATGGATGGCCTGTGCTTGCCATTGTGCGCGGCGTGAGTGATTACTCCCAGTGAGACACTGAGGGAGTGACTGTGCATTTCTTAGTGGAGAGGTCTTCAGAATATGGGTCTATGGACCAAGTCCTTTGTAAGTGAAAGGAAGTTATATGCTCCTAGGAACCCAGTGAGGCCACCCTCTTCTTGGCTCATCACACTCTGAAGGCCAGAGCCAGCCATAGGGCAGGCAGTGGACACAGGGAATGGACACAGCTCATTGAAGTCCCAGCTCTGCAAAGCAACAGAAAGAGGGAGAGACAGAGAGATTTTCCATCCTCCGGTTCACTCCCTAAATGGCTGCAGCAGCCAGGGGTTAGGCCAGGCTGAATCTAGGCCAGAACTCCATGCAGGTCTCCCACATGGCTGGCGGAGACCAAGTACTTGGGCCATCTTCCACTGCTTTCCCCAGTACATTAGCAGGGAACTGGTTTGGAAGCAGTGTAGCCAGGACTCAAACCAGAACACTGATATGGGATGCAGGCATCACAAGTGGTGGGGGCCTAACCCACTGTGCCACAACGCTGACCCCATAGCCCTCATTCCTTTGTCAAGTGAGCAGAGTAACCGACATCTGAGAATGTTGCTGCGAAGGTGGAGTGAAATAACAGGGAACTTGGCTCGTAATAATAGCAGCCCATTATATCATAACTGTTGTGGATCTGTGCACCATGCTGGGCTCCACTCAGAGCCTGAGGGCAGTCTGTTTCTGTTAGCTGTCTGCAGGGACGTTATTTTCAGTGGTCAGCCAGTCAGTCATTCCATCAACAGGAATGTGTTGAGTGACAGTGAACTGCCCCAGCACATCATCTCATACTCCTGGGAATGAAAGAAAGCACAACAGGTTTACCGTGAGGAGCTTGAAAGTGAATTCTGGAAATAAAACCAGCATGCTCAAAGTGATTAACAAATAATTCTATCTAGAATAATTCATAATAATAAATAAAAATTCACTCTAGCAAGTTGGCAATTAAAAATTGAAGGGGTGGGGGTGGTGGGCAGAGATTAGCTCTATTATTTATTCAGGGGGAAAGACATGGTGGAGATGCCGAGGAGGATGTGAGGATACTTTTCTGGACTGGATAGAATGAATCTGATCTTGAAGATGCTCAGGACCGGAATAGGTAGGGCCCATAGGAAGAGGCTATAGAAGGCAAATAAGCACCTTAATTAAGGCTGTGGGGACAGGTGTCCATGCAGTGGGCAGAGCTGTGTGCGGGGGCTGGAGGGGGTGCAAGTGAAATGGAGAAGGGTTTGCTTCCAAGAAGCTGGGAGGCATAGAGGGTTTGTACAAGGGGAGGTGTGAGTAGCAAAATTCTCCTCCACCAAAAAAAAAAAAAAGCTGAATTATTAAAAAATTAAAGCTGAATTAGCATGTGCTAATGTTCTGTGATAATGAACTTGAGAATGGCAGGAAAGAGCACCATCCTGGGGAGCTGAGGAGGGAAACAGTTAAGGCATTTTGCTCTGGAGCCATCTAAAGTGAAAATGGAGAGGTGAACCTGAGACCCAGCGCAGAAGGACTCTGGGTCTTTCTTCTGATTGATGAGTGATGTAGAAGAAATGTCCAGGCATCCGTTTCCCTAGAAGCCCCGGGTCCCTCACTCCCCTCATCACCTCCTGTGGGTGCCTCCTGTGAGTTTGGATGGAGCATTCAGCACACAACCCTGCAATCCTTGGTTTCCTCTACTTGACTGATGGCCCCTTAGAACTTAGACCCAGGCCCCAGCCTCTCCTACAGAACAAGACCCAGGGTTGGGAGCTCAGTGTGGGTGTGTGCTGAAAGTTACTGCTGTTCATCAAAATCTAACCCTGCTGTGTTCTCCTGGGCCGTGCTAACAGGACTCGTGCAACTGTGCCTGTAGTCACCTCGCTGAACAACCTCCACCTCTAGAGCTCTCCACTGTGTCGTTCCTGCCCCTGAACAGCTGAATGTCTCTATGCAGTGGTGCAGAGAGCCCGAGAAGAGGGAGCCTGGAGCAAAACAGGAACAGCCAGTGACAAGGGACCTCTGAAGGCTCTCGCTGCTCCCCTCCCAGGCTTGTTCCCACGAGTGTGAGATTTCCTAGGCTTCCCTCTTTAAACCTGATCCCACTGGGCCTCTTGGCACACATTCCCTCCTGAGATTTGCTGCTGAGCTGACCCATCTGTCCGGTTCCCCCCTTTCATCTCTGACCCCAGAAGCCAGCCACAGGACCCTCTCCTTCGTGTACGCTTTATGGTGTTGATTTCTTTTTTTTTTTTAATTTTATTTATTTGTTTATTTATTTGACAGAGTTAGAGAGAGACAGAGAGAAAGGTCTTCCTTCCATTGGTTCACCCCCCAAATGGCTGCTACAGCCGGAACTACGCTGATCCAAAGCCAGGAGCCAGGTGCTTCTTCCTGGTCTCCCATGTGGGTGCAGGGCCCAAGCACTTGGGCCATCCTCCACTGTCCTCCACAGCAGAGAGCTGGACTGGAAGAGGGGCAACCGGGACTAGAACTGGTGCCCATATGGATGCCAGCACCATAGGCGGAGGATTAGCCAAGTGAGCCATGGTGCCGGCCCTATGGTGTTGATTTCTGTCCTCTGCTCATCCCTGTGGAGAAACAAGTGGAGGCAGCCACGTTGCAAGGCCAGGACTGGTGACACAGGATGTGGTCACCTTGCACATGTCACTCATGGACCTCAGTGTAGACTAGCGCCCTGTTGAGAGCCTTCTCAAAGTCCACGGGCTCTTTATTTTCATCTCCTCTCCCACCTCCCCTGGATGGAGCTCATTAAGCCATCACCCTCCTGTGTGCTTGTTTGTTCTATTTGTTTTAAAGATTTATTTTATTTATTTGAAAGACAGAGTTACAGAGAGAGGTAGAGACAGAGAGAGAGGTCTTCCATCCGCTGGTTCACTCCCCAAATAGCCTCAATGGCCAGAGATGCACCCATCTGAAGTCAGGAGCCAGGAGCCTCCTCCGGGTCTCCCACGTGGGTGCAGGGGCCCAAGGACTTGGGCCATCTTCTACTGCTTTCCCAGGCCATAGCAGAGAGCTGGATTGGAAGAAGAGCAGCCGGGACTAGAACCGGCACCCATATGGGATGCCAGCGCTTCAGGCCAGGGCTTTAACCTGCTGCGCCACAGCACCAGCCCCCACATGTTGGTTCTACCAACAGCTCTTAGGATGGCCCTGCTCCCAAAAGCAGATTTTTTTAAAAAAAGATTTATTTATTTATCTGAAAGGCAGAGTAACAGAGAAAGAGAGAGACCTTCCATTCGCTGGTTCACTCCCCAAATGGCCACAACAGCTGGGGCTGGACCAGATCAAATCCAGCAGCCAGGAACTCCATCCTGGTCTCCCACATGGGTTTCAAGAACCCAATTACCTGGGGCGTCTTCTGCTACCTCCACAAGTGCATTAGCAGGGAGCTGGATTGGAAGTGGGGCCGCTGAGACTCACACTGGAACTCTGCCCCAATAAATGATGCCAGCACTGCAGGTGGCGGCTTAATCCACTGCCCCTGTGCGGCCCCCCAAGGAAGTTTCGTCAGAAATCTGAGATGACAAGCCTTGGGTCAGATGGACCCCTCCATAAATGGTCTAGTTGGAACAGACACGGTGGAACACCTGTGAGCCTCAGTTTCCTTCTCTGGAAGATAGAGGTCATAACTGCATGGACACCTCCCAGGGCTGTTGTGAGCACTGAGTGAGAAAAATCATACTGAGCACTCCACAGCATGCCTGGCACACTGGAGATCGAAACTAATTTCATTCCAAATCTAGGCCTAAAGGAGCAATTAAAGTACAAGGAGAGAGTTGACTGTGCTCCCGGCTGCCAGTAGGTCCGTCCATGTGTGCTCCTTAAGGCTAAGTAGCTCTTCAAAAACCAACACTCAGGACATTTATTTTGTGTCTGTTGAGATTTTCATTCAAGGGCAGGGATGCAGTCTTTTGCATTTTGTCCCCAGTGTCCAGCACATCATCTGACATCAGTAGTTGATGAAAGAATGGACAGCAAACGAATGAATGGACAAGCATTGCAAGGTCCTCCTGGCTAGGCAGCTCTGGCTTTTCCTCCCAAGCAAGGGAAGACGTTCATGTAGCCCTCACTGCATTCACTCAGCAGACATGATTGTAAACCCCTGGGTACCAGGCAGGAAGTTAGGAAAGGGAGTAAGGTGCAGCCCTGCCTTCGAGAGGTTTGGAGTCTAGTGAGACGCACTAATCGTTGCTGTAACAGAGCCATGAAGAAAGTATTCAGAGGCACAGAGGAGAAAGTGGTTGTTTCCGAGGCAGGATCAGGGACGGCTTCGCAGGAACATTTGACCTTGACCTTGAAGCATCCTTCCGGCATTGCTGCTTTGAGATTGTTGGTAGGGCAGTTGCCACACTCAGAACTTGGTTTGGATAAGTAGGATGAGACTGGAGGTACGAGGGCATTGGAAACTGAGTGAACGCATTTGGACCGCAAGCTGTTGTGTCTCAAACATCCTCACAGAAGGAGCCAAGAGCAGAGAGAGATGAGATGTGAGCTCTTGAGGATCTGGGACGTAGTCCAAAGCAGCCCACCACACTAGGCATTTTCTTAAAGACTTGCATTTTGTCCTGCAAAATACTTAGGAATTTAGCATTTTACTCCATAATACAGACTTATTAAAAAAAAAAAAGAAAAGAAAACATTTTTCCCACCTAAAAGCCAAGTAAAATTTAGTGTCCCAGGAAGCCGCCATCGCGTTGCCACATGCTCTGGCCCCAGCAGTGCACTGGACTCAGTTTGAGAGCCCATCCAGGGTTCCCGGGTGAGGGGTGACGGCAGGAAAGCTGGTGCTGGGGACGGAATTCTGAGCTCTTAGTGGCATTCTTGGTCCCAGGGAGCAATCATTGCCTTGGGAGAAACGAAGTCAAATGAGGACTTCAGGTTTCCAAAACACATTCTTATCACTCGTAGCAGGGACAGTGTTCTTGGAAGGCAGGGTGTTTGACTTGCTAGGGAAGTGTTTTGGAATAGCAAAGGAAGCTGGGCACACAGTAGACAATACAAGTTAGGGAGCGGAAAAGTGCGCTCTGGCCAGGACCTGTGAGAATGCAGAAGGAAACTTGTGCCTCGCTGGGGGCTGAAGAGGGGTAGATATTATTTCTGGAATTAGCTGGGGAGTCCAAGAATGATAAGGAGAGTTCTAGTTACTTCTGGAGTTGGGCAAGTAAGTGTCATGCCATGTTGGAGTAGGGTGTGAGTCATGGCATGTGGGGACCCAGGACAGAGAGGGCCCAGTGAGTGGCCTGAGTTTTTCCAAGGCCCCAGACAAGGGTATGGGGAATGAAGTAGAATCCAGTGTCTGACCAGATACCTGTCCCTACCCTGTGGGATGGCATCCAACAGTCCTCCTCCCCAGGCCCAAGATATACCCCAGAAATTACAGGGAATGGGCAAAACAGTGCATTTAAACCTAAAATGACTGAAAAGTCTCTATGTCTTTGACAATTGGGTGGAAATGGAAGTTTGAGGCAGCAATTAGGTTTGTTTATAGGACAATGAAGTTATAAGGCTTGCAATTGTTAGCTTTGGAAATTCTTCCCCATTCCACAGGGGTTTGGGAAGACTGAGCTGACAACAGGGACTCAGACAGAGGGCGAGGGGAGACAGAGAGAGGGATCAGGTGGCAAGGAGTGAACAGGAGGCCTCTGCCCTGCACGTGGGGTGGGGGCCAAGTGCTTCCTGGTGTGCAGAAGAGAACTGAGCAGAGGAAAAGCGGAAAGAAACAGGAGCAGCACCCTGCCCAGGTGCCGTGCGCCAGCCTCTGCCGACTTGCCTGTCTGCACGTGTCCCCTGGAGCCGCGGGTGAGCTGTTTAATAAGAGGTGACATCCCAGGGTGAAGCTGTCCGGTGAAGCCAGGGTTTCCGCTGCCATCTCAGCCATAGCACCCACTGCCAGTTTAACATGCTGACCCCATTTCTGCCATGGCTGGAGCCCAGGCAAACCTTACTGCGAGGCCAAAAGGCTTTTTGGCCAAATGAAACTCCTCCACGTGACCTTCCTCAAGCCAAGCACGACACCCCAGCCTGAGATGGGAAGCAGCACTGCTGGGTCTCTGTGGGTAATCAGCTATCAGACTGCTGTGTGCTCAAGAGACTCGTGCAGACAGGGCCAGCAGGACCCGAAAGATCCCTTCCTTGAAGTGGTCGCCGGGATTGGAGCCGCAGGAGCATCGTCTCCCTGGGTCTCCAGTGGGACTCAGGACAGAGGCTTTGATTGGCCTTCCACAGCAGCTCCTGCAGGAGCTCTCTTCTTGGAATTCGCAGCAGTCGGCTGTCACATGTGCCTAAAGGAACAAGAGGAAGAGGGAACAAGCAGAGAGTACTGGAGGTGAAGGGGACAGGGAGGGGGTCCTTTCCCGAGACCTCTGAGAGCCAGTGTGGCTCTAGGCAGTTTGGTTCCGTTAGAACATACCAGACAACACTAGGGTGCCTAACAGAATCCTGTTCTACTTTTGTATCCTATCAAAATGGGAGACATTGTAAAGAAAAGGAACCGGTGCTCTCCCTCCTTCTAACCCAATATTAGAGTTCCAACATCACTGCCAGATTCCAGAGAACTCTAACACTGGGGTGGTGCCACCCATCCTGAGCCTTTTTGCCAAGTCCGTTGATGGCTCTGGCCAGGGCCACAGCCTCGCCCCTTCACTTCCTCTCCCCTTACTTTGCCTGCCTACATCGTGGTGACCATCCACCTTCCTGCACGCTGGAAAACGCAATGGCAGATCACGCGGAAGACCGCAGGTTACAAAAGAGAGCAGGCTTCGTGCCAGGCTGTTTCATTTTCTTCAGTCTTTCCTCTTCAAAAGCTCTTATTTTATTTATTTATTTTCTCACTCAGCTCCTATAAAAAGAAATATCGCTAGCCAGTCCGTGGAGGCCGGCATCCCAATTCAAGGAGATTGGATTACCGGAGGCTTTGCAGAACCATCGCCAGACAGAAAGGTGGCTGGTGAACTCCGAGGAAATTAAATACCTTTATCTGGAAAAACACCGGCTCACAATCGGGCTTCAAAGGAACATAAATACAGCACCAGGCTGTGAAAATCAGGGTTCCCTTTCAGGAATGGACGAGAGGCTGGTGGTGTTAACTCACGGAATCCTTGGAGAACAGGAAGTTGGCTGGTTGGCAGGGCGGCAGAGGACCTGGGAGCCATCTTAGCAAGGGTGGGGGTGAGCGACGGGGGAAGAGCGCTCTGGGGAAACCTCCCTCTGTCTTCTTCTCAGGGGGCCCAGCCTGGCTCTCCCAGTTCTCCGGTTTCTCCACGGAGAGCCCAGACTGGCCACGTGGATGTGGGAAGTTGAGATGGTGTCTCGCAGAGAGGCTTCCTGACCCAATCAGATGGGTTGCTGAGACATGGGGGTGCTCCAAGAAGCTGCCAGGAACAGAGGCAAATGTGGCCCCCCTGTAACTCTGCAACCAGGAGGTCAGCCATGATAAAGTTCATGGCCCACTTCTGCCTGGACACTGGGCCAAGACTGAGCTGAGGAAGCATCCATCCCGATGGGATGCGCTGTTCAGGAGGGTAGAAAGGGGATTTTGCAAGATGCCCCCCCCCCCATACCTAGAACTCCTATGGTACCCCGAGCCCAGCCCATCATTCTGAAGGTTCCCGGGGATAGATTCAGTCATCGAGAGGCTAGGTTGAGTCTGGAGTCACATGCTGAGTGATAAGCACAGATGGTGTGGGGAGGTGATGGCCCTGGCGTCAGTCTGCATCCGGGTACTTCTGCTTATCATGGGCAAGTTAACCTTGGGCAAGTTACCTGCTACTCTCCACACCTTGGTTTGCTTGTCAGAAAAATAGAAGTTAGGATACTGCTTGTTTCACAAGGCAACTGAAAGACTGAATTAAAATATTTAGCATGGTAACCTTGCTTATAGTTAACACTCATAAAGATCAGCTTTATATTTATAAGGAGTGCTAGCGTTGGAATAGCTCTATCTAGAATTCACACCTTAGCTGTCGAAACTTAGAGTCTCTGAATGTCTGTTTCTTTAGCTGTAAAATGGGAATGGTGGGTTTCCTTTAGAGTGTTTTTAATGATAATTGAATGAGATAGCAAACTTTTTTTAAAAATGAAGTCCTTGAGCTCATGTTATGATAAATTGTAAAATGCCTCTCCCACACTTTATCTTTTGATAAATTGCAAAATTGATCAAGGGCCTCTGCCACCCCTCTTCTATTTTGTGTCCCTCTCCCCTGCTTTTCTCCCACCACTCTCCCTGGAATCTGCTGGGTCTAGTCAGCAGATCTAAAAGCAAATGCCAGAAGAAATGGCAAGCTTACTCTTTCACTTCCTGTGAAGCACACACGTGGCGAATCACCCTGCATTTCCTGGGAAGATCATAGACGCCATGATCATGGGCATGTGAAGGTCCCATTTACAACCAGATGTCTGGCCATGGCACCACTTGACCTATTTGCATGGATGCAGGTGAATGTAGTGCTGACACATACAGTTCTTGAAAGCCATTTTGGGCCAAGAGTCCATGCTGTTGTCAAGTGCTTTTGGTCAACACGGCACAGAACTTCAGCACCTGCACAGTACCCAGCTCATGGGAGCGCCTCACTAAAGGTGAGCTAACCATCACCAGTGGGCAGTATGCTGTCCCTTGCTGGGATCCTGGCACTGCGCAGTCCTCTGTGTACCCACCTCTGGAGCTCCTGGAGCCTGTGCCTCTTTATTCAGAACGAGCGTCCCCTCTGTATCTTAGTTGCAGATTTCCACGATGCTCTCTGCAGATATGTGAGGGTTGGAAAGGCTAAGACATAAGTGTACCTGAATGTAAGAAGTAGTTATTAGCCAGTCACAACCGAAGGAAGAGCAGGAGAGTGGGTGGAGAGCCAGATCTCTTCATATGTCCCCCCTTCCAGCATGCCATATCCCTGTGAAGTTGTAGAGACAAAGGAAGTTATTCATTTGCATTTGCGCACTGTAATTTGTATTTGTGGGCAATCTGTGAGTGACACCGAAGTTAGTATTTCACCAACCAGGAGTTTGCAAGGAGAGTTTGATTCTATTTCGGCTGATGCAGACTGATTGCTGGGGTTTAGCTGAGGCTCAGAGAGAGACTCAGTGTTAGGAGAAAATCCCAGTTACCGTGCCATCTGCCTGGGTGGCTCATGTGTGGTTCCATCTGAAGACAGGGAGAGAGGAGGTGACTCGATGGCTTCCCAGTCCCTCTCACAGGTGCTGGAGCATCTGTGAGTGATGCAAGGGCCTTGTGGCCTGCAGGGGGTCACATCGGTGGCTCCTGGTGATGCATGGCTGGGTGCTGTGGAAGGCATTTGACTTCTTGGAGAATGACTGATGACAGTGTGTTAAATGCAACTGCTGCACTCCCCGAATACTCCCTCCCCACTCCCAACTCCATCTGTTTCTCAACTCTCACTCTGCCAGCTCATCTATTCTTGCCTCCACTTTCCAATAACTTCCTAAAGGCACGCATGGTACACAAGCCTCACTCCCAGGAGGAGGAGGAGAACCACTCAGCCAGGAATCAGCACGCTGGAACCAACCCCCATGATTAATGCGCTGGCCCTGGAACGCGAAAAGCTGCGAAACAGAGAAGGGGGGATGTTTTGGGGACTCCTGGTTTCTACCAGCACCCTGTTAAATCCGCGGCTCCTCCAGGAAGCTTTCCCTGATCTAATCAAAGTGATCAGAGCACAGATGACAGATCCACTTCTAACCGTCCCCTACGGCCCCCTGCACCCAGGCAGCCCATGTTGTGGGTTTCCCAGGTTAATGTTCAGCCCTCATTAACCAGCCAGCCAGTCAGCACAGACTGAGCCAGCCGCCTCTGACCAGCTGGACTGCTCAACACGACGGCTATCACATTCTACCATTGCTCTGAACAAATTTTAAGTAATAATGAATGCTTATCGCAGTAAAGATCCAAAGCTTTTGGTAACGCAAACTTCTATGTCAGGGATGTCTTTATCCTCTTTCTCTCAGCAGATATTTACTGAGCTCTTATTATGGGGCTCGGTACCATGATCGCAGGGTTGCAGAGCTGAGCAATGCAGTCCTGCTCAAGGAGCTCGCAGCCTACGGGAATCCAGATATGTGGAGTCAAACAGATGTTATGAATGTTCGCACTATTAGCGGGATGTACATCTTATTAGTAATGAAACACAAAAGTGGTACAACTGAGTCAGGTAAGAAGGAAGAAGATGGCCTTGAGGAAGTGGCTTGAACTAAGTCGTAAAGGAAAGGTTGAGATTAGCCAGATGTGTGTCTAAGGGTTTCGGGGTAGGTTCCAGGAAGAGGTGCTAAGCGGGCGGAGGTACAGAAGGTAGGAGCAGTGCTCATGTGTTCTGGGGACTATAAACTGTACTGTGTTAGGAGAGGATGTGTCCGAGTCAGAGCCCGCATTGCAGAAAGATCACCCAGGCAACCACATACAGAGGGAGGGGCCTTGACGAGGAAGTAGCTGGAAGCAGGGCAGTCATTTCACAGGTTGCTGCAGTAGTCCAAGTAAGAGAGGGTGGGCGCCTGAAGTGGGGAAGTAGGGGGATGGGGAGAAGGGTAAGAACGTGACCAGTATTCAGCGGGGTTTGGTACTAGCCAATGCATGGAAGAGAGGCAGGACCAAAGGCAGGGACATGAGGCGAGAATGTGTCCTACAAGAAGCATAGGAGACTGGGAAGGTTGGGAGAGAGCAGTGAGCAATGGCTTTATAAAAAGCCAAGAGGGGGTCAGAAGTTGAGCCCAGCCATTAGGATGTCCAAGTCCCGTCTCAGAGTGCCTGGGTCTCATACCTGCAGCAGCTCTTGATTCCAGCTTTCTGCTAGGCACCCTGAGAGGGTATCTAGTGATGATCAAGTAGCTGGTCCCTGCCACCCATGTGCGAGACCCACATTGTGTTCCCAGTTCCCAACTTCAGCCATGGCCCAGTCATGGTGGGGAGTGAACCAGTGGATGAGCTCTCTCTTTGTCCCCAAGCCCCTCTGTCTCCTTCTCTCTGTCTCTCATATAAAATAAAAGAAAATTTTTAAAAAAAATTTCAGGAAGAGGATATGGTTTTCAATGTCAGATGTAAAGAGAGGTCACATAAGAGGAGGACTTGAAAATGTCCCATAGATTAGAACAAGACATTTGTTGGTGACTTGGTGACTCGGTGCAGGTGGTTTTAGTGGTGCAAGGCAAAATATGATGGGATGAATATTGAAGAAGAAGAACAAAAATAAATTCAAAACTGAATATTTTTCTCCTTTGAATACTCTGTAGACACTGTACCCAGGACCTCAAAGCTTTTTAAGTGCCCAAAATTATGTCTGAGAACTGAAAAAAAAAGTATTGGCTTCAAAGTGCAAAAAGAAAACTGCAAAATTAAATTAAGATGTGGTTAATTAAATATCTCCAACATGTAACATTGTTTCAACTTCATTAATTTTTAAATTTAATATTCATAAAAAACTTCATTACATGGAGAAACAATTTTTTGGTTGGCTTTTCTCATTTTACAAACATTCCCTTGTATGCACAAGGATGGCTGAAAACTGGTGGCCAATTGAGTATTAACTGTTTCTTGCCACCAAGTAATATCAGAAGGAAAAGTTTTAAATGCGTTTAACACAAGATGTGGGTGCATTTCCTTCTACTTGCTTTCCTGTAAGTATTTTGAGGGTTTTTATGCTGTCCTAAAATAGTTCTGATGTAGGCACCTCTTCCAAAAACCTTAGCCATGGCAGGAAGAGGAGAGATGAGTGTTGATGAGGCGGGTTGGAGAGGGTATGGGAGATAGTCTTTCTTCTTTATGGAGAGAGAAGCATGAGTGTGCATATGTTTAAGGGAAGAGCCCGTGGGGAGGAAAAGCTTGGAGGAGGACAGGATGGTGATGGATAGGGAGGCGAGGGGCACAGCAAGAACGCCGTGGAGCAGAGGAAGAGGAGGTGAGGGCCCGTTTGCTGGCTCAGGCAGAACCATCCCAAGGGTATCTGAAGTCCCTCGGGGACTTCAGAGCAAGCAGCCCCCTTGATCACTTCTCTAGGGATCTCCATCTAGCCTTTCTGCAAGGGTGTGGCTGGGGACACTGGTTCATCCACCTTAATACCCTGGTTCTCACCATGCCTAGACCTGTACAGATTCCCTTTGAACTCTCTTTTGTCCCTCCCTTCATGTGGATCCTAGTGCTCCCCCAATCAAAAGTCTGCCCAAATGGCCCTAGGTTAGAGGAGTAAGTGTTCCAGTGAGCCCCAGGCATCTTTGCTCTAGAAGGTAGCACTGAGGTTTTTAATGATAACCTGTTTTGGATTATTCAAAATAGGGGATACTGCATCACACAGGCCACCAGGAGGTGATGGTGTGGCTGTGCAGACCAGAGTTGGATGCACCCCTGATGTGAGCCCCGGGGACCACTGCCTGTGGATTCTCAGCTAGGCAGGGGTTGCTGCTGTGCTCTTGCTATTTTAGAAACAGGCATCTGGCCGGCGCCGCGGCTCACTAGGCTAATCCTCCACCTTGCGGCGCCGGCACACCAGGTTCTAGTCCCGGTCAGGGCGCCGGATTCTGTCCCGGTTGCCCCTCTTCCAGGCCAGCTCTCTGCTATGGCCTGGGAGTGCAGTGGAGGATGGCCCAAGTGCTTGGGCCCTGCACCCGCATGGGAGACCAGGAGAAGCACCTGGCTCCTGCCATCGGATCAGCGCGAGCTCCGGCCACAGCGCGCCGGCCGTGGCGGCCATTGGAGGGTGAACCAACGGCAAAGGAAGACCTTTCTCTCTGTCTCTCACTGTCCACTCTGCCTGTCAAAAATTAAAAAGAAATTAAAAAAAAAAAAAAAGAAACAGCATCTGCTTGGGGATTTGTGAGAGGAAACCTCAGGCATCTTAAGTAGCCAGGGGAGAACCGTTTCTCCAGCGTTGCAAGGTACAGAAAGAGCGTCCAGTTTCTGCTCGTGAACTGCAGCTTACCTTGAGTGTTGCGCAAAGCTGGCCGTCCCTGACACGGACACAGTTCTGCCACGTCCTGCGATGACACCACTCATTGAAAAAGCATTGCAACGTGCAAACATGCTGAAGAGCGCAGGGCATAAGCCGCCCCCTTGGCGTTTCTCCTGGATAAATGATGCCTTTTTGATTTATGACCTTGGTCCTTGTTGGTTGTGGTTGCGTGCGTTTGTGATGCTTCCTGGAAGGTGTAGGTTTCTCTAATGCATGAAACAAGCTTTTAGTTATACAGCTAAACTCCACATTGACACTGCAACAACCAAACAGCCATTTCATTCTGCAAATATTTGTTGAGCGTGTGCTCTGTGCCAGGTATCATGTTAGGCAATGTGGACACAGCAGAAACAGTGCCTGAGTTCAAGGAACTTTGATTTGCAAACTGACATTAGGCCTGGCTAGAAAGGACTCACCTGGGAAACTTACTGAAAACACACATTCTTGGGCCCCATCTCCAGAGACAGTCAATAGGTCTGGGTAAGGACCGAGAATCACTGGTTTGGTTTTGGTTTGGTTTTTGGAAGATTTTCTTTTTAAAAAAATGTATTCAAGAGGCAGAGAAATAGGCAGAGAGACAGACAGGGAAAGCTCCCATCGACTGGTTTACTCCCCCAGATGCCTGCAGCTGGCAAGGTGGCCAAAGCTGGGAGCCGGAAACTCAATCCCCCGTCTCTCCTGGGAGCCGCAGGCACACAATCACTTGAGCCGTCACCACTGCCTCCTGGGGAGGTTGGTGTTGGAAGCCTAAGCTGGAACTACACCCCAGGTTCTCTGGTTTGGGGTGAGGGCGTTCTGGCTGGCACCTTACCTCCCGGGCCAAAAGCCTGCCCTGCCATCACTGTTTCAGACCAGCTTTCCAGGCCTTTGTAATTGCAGCCAGATTTAGGAATCACTAGTCTGGTGAGATAAAAACTTTTACTTTCCAAGCAGGAATGTTAGTAACACGTTGACACAGACAGGTAAACATACTTTTACCTCTGCCCTTTGCAACATGCAAACACCAGTATTGGTTGACCGAACTGTTTATGAAACTGCTAGGATGGTCAAGTGTCACGTCTCTGAAAGCAACATCAGATTTAGCCCGAGCCCTTTTCTTTTCTATTTTTGACAGGCAGAGTTAGACAGAGAGAGAGAGAGGTCTTCCTTCCATTGGTTCACCCCCAAATGGCCGCTACGGCCAGCGCTGCGCCAATCTGAAGCCAGAAGCCAGTGCTTCCTCCTGGTCTCCCATGCGGGTGCAGGGCCCAAGCACTTGGGCCATCCTTCACTGGCCTCCCGGCTACAGCAGAGAGCTGGACTGGAAGAGGAGCAACCGGGACTAGAACCCGGCGCCCATATGGGATGCCAGCGCTGCAGGCAGAGGATTAACCAAGTGAGCCATGGCGCCAGCCAGCCTGAGCGCTCACCTCCCATCGCCAGACACCCTTTGCTAGGCTTTCCCAGGCTCCTGTCTTTGCAGCTGTGTCTCCCCCGTGTTCTGCCAACCATGCTGAGTTATTTCTCCCCCAAGGCAATAATTAAGTCGCTTGGAGCAATGTGCGTCTAAACGTTCTGGTGGTTTACATGACTGTCAGCATCTGGGACTGAATGATGATGTCTTTCTGCTCCTTTACAAGTTGTTGCCCACTTGTTCATCCCTTTCTTACAGGCCTGGGAATGGAGAATATCGGTGGAATCTTTGTGGTTCTTATTTGTGGCTTAATCGTGGCCATTTTTATGGCTATGTTGGAGTTTTTATGGACTCTCAGACACTCAGAAGCAACAGAGGTAAACTGCCAGTGGGGGGAGGGGACTTGCAGGGTCAGCCCAGGGAGTGAAGCTCACAGGCTCCTGCACCTGTGGGGGTCGTGTCAGACAGGGCCCTTGAAATTGCAACAGAACAGATCCGAGCTAAGGCTGCATCGCTCACTGATTATACAGCCACAGGAAGGATCCTTCACTGCTCGGGATTTCAGATTCCTTTCTGAAAATAAATAAATATGAAATATTTTATGAGCAACAAAGCCATAAGGCATAATATAGTAAAGAAAAATAGGTAAAAGGACTAGGCCCCTAATGGAAAAGATGACCTCAGTCCTTCCGTTCGGAGCATGTTTTTGCCTCCGAGGGAAAGATCCTTAGAGATAGCACAACTCATGGGAATGCAAGAATGACACTCGTACCTTCCTTCTCGGGGATTTGGGATAAATTCACTTCCCACACTGTGGCGTGGAGGCTTGGTTACTATAAACCTCATGCAGATTGCCGAGTCTGGGAAAAAGGAAGAAGCCCTTATCCCATTCTTCCGTTCCTCTGCAGGGGAGGTGCACAAACCGTTACCTGTTAACGACACCATGAAATGTATTTGTTTTTTTAAGTCCCTGAGCCTCTGCCATCATAGTCTCCAAACTCTGGATCTTTCTAAAACCTGATTGGCACTGTTGAAACACCTCGTAACTGCATAGGGGACAGACTCAACACGGCTATGGCGGTCCCTTCCCTCTTTCCTGTCCCCACATCGTTCCTCCACGCTGTCATTCCTTGCCCATGCCCTCCGCTCCAGTCGCTGCAACAACTGTGTGGGAGCAGCATGATTGCTAAATCTGGAAGAAGGGACAGAAGGCTCTTCTCCCATCATGGCCCAAGACAGTGCCCTTTCCAGTTCAGAGAAGGGAGCTCAATGGAGCTTGCAACAGGCTTCAGAGTCGGACAGGTTCAAGTTCAGATTGTGAGTCAGCTGTTTATCAAATGGTTTTTAGTAAGATACGTGACTTCAGGAGGCTCCATGTCCACATCTGCAAAATGGACATAGGAAGACTAGTGACAGTAGTAGCAACCCCGCCTCGTGGTTCTTCACCCAGTGTTCTGAATCCCAGGAAGCTCCAAGTCCTTCGTCAGGTATATGCAGGTGCACTCAGTGACAAAACTTGATTCACGTTCATGGCCCTTGTCTCACTCAGTGTGCGGCACATCTATTTCGGTAGAGGAATATTCATGTTTGAATATGGAGTCTGCCTCCAGACGCATCGTTCATGGTATATGACATACTGATTGTGCATCCTATTGTCTTCCTAAAATCCGAAGTTTATTCTGAACTTGGAAAGAAAAAAAAAAAAAAGCGGAGACGATCGTTTCGTGTTAGGAGGCTGTGGGCCTGGGTAGTGGCGACGGCTCCTGTTTCTGTTATTATTGGAGTGCATCATTCCCACTGGTCAGCCGCTGGTTAAAAGAAATGGGGATCTTTGGCCTGAGAACGGAATGTTCCGGGAGACATGGCCGCTTTTTCAAACACTTGAGAGACTGGCCGTGTGATAGGCAGGTTATCTACTTCCTGGGCTTCAAGCTCCAAATTTAGCTGGGATCAATGGCGGGGAAAGGAGCCATTAGCCCGGGAGAGGGAAACAGCTGTTCAAGGAAATGCGCACAAATGGAGCGAGCTCTTGCCCAAGGTAGTGGCGGTTTTTGAAGGCGTTCAGACTGCTGGCCATTAAATGGGACTGGATGGAGGGGTGAGGAGGGGTGAGCAGAGCTTCATAGAAGCGTTGTCCCTAATATGATATGGCCCCGTGACCCTGCCCCGACAGACCCCCACCCCCGGGGACGGACGGGGAGGGGCGCAAGGCTGGTTCTGCGGCCCACACCCTGCCCTGACCCCGCTGTTTCCCGCAGGTGTCCGTCTGCCAGGAGATGGTGAGCGAACTGCGTGGCATCATCCTGTGCCAAGACAGCATCCACCCGCGGCGGCGGCGCGCGGGGGTCCCGCAGCCCGGGCCCCCCGCCCCGGAGGAGCGCCGGCCGCGGGGCACGGCGACGCTGAGCAATGGCAAGCTGTGCGGGGCTGGGGAGCCGGACCAGCTGGCGCAGAGACTGGCGCAGGAGGCCGCCCTGGTGGCCCGCGGCTGTACGCACATCCGCGTGTGCCCCGAGTGCCGCCGCTTCCAGGGCCTGCGCGCGCGGCCCTCGCCGGCCCGTAGCGAGGAGAGCCTCGAGTGGGAGAAGACCACCAACAGCAGCGAGCCCGAGTAGCCCGGGGCCGGGGCGCGGGCAGGCGTCGCTCGGTCCACGGGGCGCCGACCCTCATCTCCGGACAGACGGGCGGATGGAAGGCGCCTGCCGCACCAGCCAGGGACCGGCCTTGCCGCTGGGGGTTGGGCTGCACCTGCAGACTTGGTGCCCCGCGGCGATGGGACGCCACCCGCGCGGGCACAAGGACCCCGCTTCTCCCGGGGACAGTCTCGGGTGGGAGGGCCCTACCCAGACAGTCCAGCGAATCGAGGGCATCATCAGTTGAATTTCCCCCTAGGAAGGGGCCATTGTACCCTGGGCCTAGTTCTTACAGGAAAAAAAAAAAATTAAACTCAACAGGGAAGTTTTTCTTTTCTGGATTTGTATATTTTTGTTAATGTTCTTTTCTATCCCCTTTCTCCTTTCCTTTCTTCTTCGAGTCCTCTCGGTTTTGTGGTTTGGGGAAGGGGGGAGGCTGGGTTGGGGCCTGGAAGTCTAAACAACCCCTGTTCCTTTTTCCTGAACGTTAAGGTGTCGAGGTGCCCACGTAAAGACTTCAGGTGCTGAGCTCCCTTGTGCGGGGAGGGGGTAGGTGGCCTGCGGGGTGCCGGACAGGGTGGTGCCGGTGGGGGAGGGCCATTGCCACATCTCCAGCACAAGTCCACAGAAGGTCTTAAACGACCACCCCCCCCCCCCCAAAAAAAATACCAGTTCACGCGTGGTTTACACAGCCCTTGAAACATCCGGGATTTCAAAGGCTAATCTGCCTTTTGTTTCTCTTCTTCCTGAGTTCACTGCTCCTGGCTTGGGTATGGTCCTTTGTGAAGGAGATCTCCGCAGACCCTGGACCAGAACAGAAAACCGGGGGCTGGGATGGGGTGGAGGAAGGAGGAAGGACCCGGCCCGCCCTGGCCCTGCTGGTGTGGTGCACAGGTCGTGTCACGTCCAGCTCAGTAGCTGCCCGCGAGGCCCCACCTCCCAGGCTTTCATGGGTCAAGTGATTTCCTGCTACCTGACAGCAGCCTGGGTGCGTGGGTGCGTGCGTGCACGTGTGTGTGTGTGTGTGTGTGTGTGTCTACACCAAATGGACAGACTGTCAGTTGAGAAGGAGTTGCCAGGTCTCTGGGAGCGAGATGGAGTCTGTTAGCCAACACCCAGGCCTGGGAACCCCAGTGTGGGCAGCAGCCCTGCTTGTGCGTCCATAGGTGAAGCCCTTGGCTTCTCTGGTGTCCACAAGCTAGGGGTGGTCCCTGCTCTTGCGTTCTTAAGAGCAGCGCGAAGGGCCGAGCGCTCCTCTCCTGCTAGGGGAGAGGCCCCACGGCAGCTGCCTGACCTCTGCTTGGCTGCCCCCCTTGGGAGTGTCACTCCGAGAGTTTTCATTTTCTGGTGGAAAACAAATTCTATGCAATTTCTGACTGTGATTTTAGGAAACTTAGAGGGAGAGAGAGAGAAGAGCCGCTACCCTCACCTCCACCTCTGCCGCCATGGCTGCCACCTTGAATCGAGTTGTCCTCACGTTGCTTCTGTTCTGAATGGACTAAAATAAAGACCTCTTTGGAAGATGACGAGCTTAATCCCATGCTTTTGTCTTTTGGATAGGTCAGCATCCCCATTGGGCCAGAGCAGTCGGCTAGAGCTGCCATCTTGGGGAAACAGTGGGACCCCCGATTGTTCCTATCAAGGATGCCATTTCTGTCCTAGGCTGACCTCTTCCCTCTCATGAATTTGGATGCTTTTTCTTTTTTACTCTTTAATTAGTAAAGGACAGCAATGCGTGCAGGACACTTGAGTCTTTTTTGAAACCATGCCTCATGCCTCATGGAGGAATGTGGATCTGGTGGGAAGGGCGTCCCAGGTGCCATAGCGCTCCCACCTGCATCTCCGTCCCATGCTTCTGACAAAGTGGTCCCTCCTGGCAGATCACACGTGGCGTGGGAAAGGTGTTTTTTAAAAAATGAAAACAAAAACAAACAAAAAACCTAGTTTTTATGAGCAGGAGATCCTGATCAACCACAAGCTTTTTTTTTTTTTTTTAATGGATTAGTGAAATAAATGTGCCCATGCATCATTTATAAAGTCTGTGTCCTTGGCCGTGTGGAATAGAGATGACATTGACAGCACGAGACAGTTTCTCGGAGCTGCAGTCACTGCACCCTACGCAAGCTGCTGAGGGAATTTGCAACCAGCTAGCTCTCTTCCTGGGTTTGTCTGCCTTTTTATCTGTTGGTTGTTGGCTGTCCTTTCCATTCTGTATTTTCTATCGGATTCTGTATACTGTATAAAGCAGTTTTTTCTTGTCTGTTTATCTTTCTTCGACTGGAATATTTACAATAAAACAGAAACAAACCTTGACATGTTAGTGATGGATGAAAGCTGTTTTGGTTTGGAAAATACGGTTTGGTGTGTCTAATCATCAGGTACGAGACTCTAAAAGCAAATAAAAGTATAAACTCACTTTGTGTCTCCCCCTGCACCTGCCATTCCCCTCCTCTGCACCTCCCTGTCCAGTCTCCCACCCCGTTCGTTCGGCTCTTTGTTCAGGTCTCGGGAAAGTCTAGGTGACTTCTTTCAATGTTTGGTCCTGGGAGTCTTTGAACCGCCCCCATCCCCACAGTGGATACCCATGGTAATGAAGTTCGAGATTCATAGGGTTTTGTCTCCCTCAATGCGCTTTCACAGAATAGTCATCTATTGATACCTGGAGTAACTGTAGTCAGATGTCACCCCAGATTCCACTGGGAGCTGCAAGATTACATCAATTAAAATATAATACTTTGCTTTCTTTCTTTTAATTGCTTTGCAGGGCCCCAACCGTCACAAGATCTCTACCCCAGAACTCAGGTGGGGTGTAAATTGAGCGTGTGGATGGCCGAAAATCTTTTGGCTTCCTCTAATCCAATGCTCGCATGAGAATATTCACCCTGGGAACTTGCCAACCGGCCCTCTTATTGGTTAGGTGAGACCGAAATATCATGATAACCAACCCACCTGGGGCTGCTCTGTGAAAGTTTATTAGTTTTGGATTCCAAGGAGTTTAATTTTCTTTTGGAATCCAAGGGGGACTTCCCCACGGTGTAGGAATCAAATGCTGCAGGCCACAGAAGGGCTGGGGTATTTCAGACACGGCAGATTGGGGGTCGGGGCCAAGTTCGAGAGAACCATTTGTGCCCCTCCCACCAGTGGGGTGTTCACTGCTGTTCACAGAACAGTCTGGAAATGATAAGGGAGATTTGATCCTGACTGGTCGTCAGCCCTCTTGGGCAGTAACAAAGAAGCCTATTTGGGGAATTCAGAGAAGGAATCCTTTCATCAAGATGTTGCTTCAAGCTAGCGCTTCCTATGGGGCTTTCTCAAAGCAAGAAATGAAACCTGGAGTTGTCTTCGGCTTTGAGGCGTTCCCATGCCTCTCTGTGAAGGGTGACCTTCTCCCCACAGGTGAGTTCCCACCGCAGCCCAAGAGAGTACACTTAGGAACTGACAACACAGCCATCTGCCCGTGTGACTCAGAGATTGGCGATGGCGCGCTTTCAAAAGACTGCTCCCATGGGGGGAAACGTCGTAACTGAGTGTGGCTTTCAGAGGGGGAAAAAGGCTCCAGATTCTAGAACAGAAGTGATCACAACCTTGCCATGTAGGAGCAACAGGGCAAAGGAAGTTCCGTCCCTACTGCTACAACATGGTCTTTCACAGTTCATTCACTTCTTACTAGTTTTCTAAATCTGCAACGTGAAAGAACAAATACTACCATTAAGCAAATAGCGGATCTGGTGCTGAGATGTGGAATGAGGTCCAGGGTCAGGCACTGTGGCACAGCCCCTCAGCCACTGCGGGGCATGCCCGTGTTCCACGTCAGAGTGCCTGGGTCTGAGTCCCACCTCTGCTTCCAACTCAGCTCCCTGCCAAGGCACACACACCCCGAGAGGCGGCAGTTGGCGACTCCAGCACTTGGTTCTCTGCCACCCCTGTGGAAGACCCAGATGGAGTTCCAGGGTCCCGGTTTGAGGCAGTGCAAACCCTGACTGTTGCCGGCATTTGGGGAGCGAACCAGTGGACAGAAAGTTCTCTCTCTCTCTCTCTCTCTCTCCATTGCTCTGCCTTTCAAGTAAATAAATGAATAAAACTTAACAAAGAGAAGACTGTGAAGGAAATAAAGCGGAGAACGACCCCTCTGAAATGACCTTGCCAACCAGAAAAGCTGGGACTCCAAAAAGGGCCTAAAGAAATGGAGCATCTAACATGACCCTAATAAGTTAACACAGCCTCGGCATATGAATATTCCTGTGGCTGGCATGTACTGCAGCATGTCAGGGAATCAATGCTTCTTTATGCATTACAATGTGTGCAGTCTTGTTGCAGAACACAGAGGTTCGATGCCTATGTGCAAAGCTCCTCTTGCTAGGAAATTAGCTGAAGAACACTGGCTCCTCGTGCCCACGCTAACGTTGTCCCGTGGCAGTGTCAGGCAGGTCAGAGGGGAGCAGGGATGAAAAGCTCCCTCATCCTGGTGGCACTTTTTCAAGATTGGCCAGTGACCTGGAGAGGGTATTTCTTCAGCCCCCAGCACCGTGTTAGATCCTGCGGGACATGAGGAAGAGGCAGAAGCAGCCACTCGTGGTCTACCTGTGAAGAACTGTGAAAGGAAAACACCAAATAACAAAGCTCTGGCATATGCGATCTGCAATCCAAACCGTGTGGAAATTCAGAGCGACCTCAGATTTTAGGTATTAGGATAACAAGGAAAGGCTTATCGGAGGAAGCAGGAGTGTGTTTGTGTCGGTGGGTTGCTAAAAGTTTTTCGATGCCTGGAAAAACAACATTTTGCTTCATCTCCCTTGAAGTGTAATATGAATAATTCCTGTTGATGAATTCAGTGCTCCTGTGATAGCAGTGTTGTTGCTGGTGTGTGTGTGTGTGTGTGTGTGTGTGTGTTTCACCCACTCCATTCCTTTTGGAGGAATTCTGGTACCCGTATGATGCTTATTCCAGATTGCTGCAGCACTATTTTGAGGTTCCCACCGCTGCCTCATTCCTGGGCTTCTCCGAGTTGCATCGGTGGGATTCACTGCAAACAGCCTACTATGGACTACAGAGAAGCTGACTGGAGCAAGCCACGAAACCAGAGTGGATTGAGAGTTATTTTTAGAAAGAGGATCGAACAGCCTTAAAACTGGGGGGAAGGAGTGTGAATACAGAACGGAAGGTGCGGAGGCAAAGTGGAAAGTTGATGCAGAAAAAATCCCCGAAGTCTGCACGTGAGGAGTGTTCAGAACCATCATCCTCCCCAGCCCGCTCCGCCAGCCTGTCGTCCGTAGCACGGAGCTTCCGCTCGGACTGTCCTGATCAGATCCTTGGCAGCTTGTGCACTAAAACTAGCAGAAAGTAACTGCTGGTCCTCCAGTTCTATATCATCTCTAATCCTATTGCACCACATGAGCTGGAAGGGCGTTTTAAACCAGGCACTAAAACTTGGTGGAAGGTCAAGGTCAGAGAGTCACAGGCAGACAAACAGCACAGGCCAGCACTGGCCAGAGACTGGATGTGTTGTCCCCCCTCAAATGCAGTGACAGCACTTCAAGCCTGGCTTCAGGAGGTCAGGTGCACATAGTGCTGCACAAAGAGACATGGAGTTATTTTGGTTTGTGGCTTTTTTCCCATTTGTATGTAAGCTAAATGGAGTGTATGATGTGTGTGTTGCTTGTGAGGTGTGTATGTGTAGTGTGTGTGGCATGTACCTACATGTGTGTATCCTATGGGGTATGTTTGTGATGTGTAC